AAAAAAAAAAAAAAAAAAAAGTTTTAGACCATCGTGCCACCTTATACAATAAGAAATCTAAGAAGTAAAAATCTTTCTACGTGAAAATAAATTTTTATGTAAAACGATAATTCAAATCAATGTCTAATTTTACTGACATTCAAAAAATTTATAAAAATGGTGATAGAACAATAAAGGTAGAAAAAAACATTTAAAAAGTAAGAAATAAGTGAATAAAAGAAACGGTTTAGTATAAATAATGAAGGAGGTAATAGATTTACCTTTGAGCTGTCCCAAAGCTTTTCCGATTCTGGTTTGGATGATCCGGACTATGTGTTGAGGTTGGTGATACAGAGGTGGTTTGTGCATCTCCTGCAATAATCTTACAAATCAGTTTAAAAAAAAACAGAGAAACTGAAACAATCTCTATTCAAACATAATTGCTGTCAGACATAATTTTTGGACATTTTAATTGACTTGTCCAAGGTATTGATAATAGATGCTGTACAAATAATTTCTCTACTTGGAAACCAGTTCAGTATATTAAAAAGCAGAGAAAAAAAAAACAAGAAACAGATAGATGCAATGCGGATGAGGCAGAGGAATTATTGATTCTTGGTAAATGACATAAAAAAGACTAAATCAGGTAACAGGCATATCTGTGTAATTAATTATAAACAGTAAATCGCTTAGGCTTTTCAACAGAAGTTGCATGTCAAAAACAGTGAAAACCTTATCTTTCCTTTCCATCCTCCTGCAACTCTGTGTCTGATACAATGTTGCTTTCGGCAAAAAATTGCAAAAAATCACTGTTTCAAATTGCCTGAGAATATTCTAATTGGTAACAATAAAGCGTACTTATCATCAACAGAACTTATTTCCATGAAAAAATAGGGGAGAGGAAGAAAGAACCTTAATAACTACATGAAAATTTATGTTTATGAGTGACAATTTTCTAGTGGTGATAACTTAAAAAATGTTTTCTTTTTTAACTTTTTTACTTCTGTTCAACTATATCCTTTTTTTTTTCTTTTGTTTTTGCTTTGCTTTGAGTTATCAACGTTCCATATACCACAAAATACATACGAACTTCCCTCCTTATTTCCTCTCCAGCATTAAAAAAAGAATCACGTTGCTGTCACCCTTGTCGTGTCATTGTTGAATGCTCAGACAAAGCACTTGAGGAGGTGGGGAAGAGTGGAAAAGTTGTAGTTGATAAAACTGAATTTGGTTCAGGTTTGTAACAGGCGCCGACTATTTGGCCAAACGAAATGTTGTACTTTAAGCTGGAAACAAACAATAATGACCGGTTCCTGGTATATTTTTATGCGTGTATGTGTGTCCGGGTGTCCGTGCATATATGCATATATGTGTGTGTGTTCACAACAAGAAATCAAGGTCAGCAGCACCTTGGTTGCAACAATCGCGTTTTGTCGCTTTCAAGTTATTTGATCGCTTCCGCAAAATTGACGATTTTTGTATGTGTTTGCGTATGTTATACCAAATACACGTGCATAACCGCCGTACAATCTTTGAAACTTCACTACCATGTATCAAACCGATCTAATGACAACCCCGATTAACAGCTGTATAAAACACAAAGCGTTTTTTTTTCTTCATCGTTCTTTCCAACATTTCCTTCAACTCGTTCATATTAGGGGTCGCCGGTACACCCGGGTGGTGTGGGGATGGGGGAAAGCTTCCATCTCCATGACATATTTCTGAACATTTAATGCCAGCAAAAACAAATTACCACAACAACAACGTAATGACTAAAGCCGAATAAAGATATTTTTGGAAACCGTTTTAGATGACAAGAAATAAAAGGAAACCTTTTTAAAATTGTTTAAAATTCACATAAATATACAAAAACATGTTATTTTTGTTTATGTGTGTTGGCATTAACGTTGTGTACGTATTAATGAATTATATTTTTAGAACTAAAACTGTATCTGTCTTTTATCTGTCTACCTTTTGGTCTATCAGCTGTAGTAACTGTACTAAAAGCAATAATAACAACTGCTTTAACTCTTGTTTGAGTTTGTCCAGATTTTATTTTCAACGGAATAAATCAATAGAGAAAAATGTTTTAGTTTGAAAAATAAAATTTTTCCCTACTTTTATTTCATTTTATATTTTCATTATTTTTTTTAATTGTAGATTATAGAAGTAATAAAGAAATGCAAATTTAATGATCTAACGTTTAGAGGTTATCGACCTGAGTACAGCAGGAAATCGGCAAATTCAGATGCAACAAATTAATGTGGTGTTTCCAAAATCAAAAAAACCGGTCTACCAACTGGTAGTATGTAGTGTTTATAAAAATGTGCGGACGTCTACCAAAATGAAAAACCTCATTGTAATGCCGAAAGGTTACCGGGCAAACTTCTAGACTGGTAGGCAGACAAACGGACAGCTTTCGGACAGACCAGTTGCCAGCCGTGTGCAAAAGGTCGTCGTCATTGTTGCAGTGCGTCGGATAATTGTTGCAACATATACAGACAAAGTCGGTTCTGGGAGGAAATTTAAGTCCTTCTCATTCACGATAGGGCCAATAACCATTTAAAGGCCAAATCAGCAAACTCGATCGCTATTGGAATGAGGATTATGACTACTGGCACACTCTGGCGTAAAACACCACTTCACAAGCCCTAAGGGCATGCTCACGACCCCGTGAAACCGGTTCCTCTGGGCCATCTTTACGCTATCTCGACAGGGTGATGATTGTTGACTGACTGCTGAAGGAAGAGTGGTGCAAAAACGGAGGGACAGAGACAATGAGAGGATGGAAAATGAGATAGGACTGCTGTGCTCCCGTCGTCACGTTACGTTACGTGATTCAAGCGTCATTTCTGCCGTTACCATTCCATCATCTAAGGGCAGTTCTTCGGTCAGATGAACTAATCGAACAACTTCGGTTGCGTAACTTTTGAACACCACAATTGAAATTCCAGAAGGAAATAAAAAAAGAATGAAATAATAAAAAAAAACATTCTAAAAAAAATTTAGCACAAGTATGAAATTTAGATCATCCTCTAAATTAAAAATTTTTGCCTTTCCCTACCAAAAATATTACTTTTTTTATTACATTCAATTCCTTCCTATAATTTTTCAACGGAATGTACGAAAAATGCCTGTACTGTCCAGGCTGACAGAAAAAAAGCAAAAAAAAAAAGCGTTGAAAGTAATCAATAGATTCTATTTCGGTGTTGCAGTTGCTATCGTTGTTGCCGTTATTGGTGTCGTTATTGTTGTAGTACCAGTTTGAAGCGACCAAAATTAACAACTTTTACTGTTACACATCCCCAGTGTCCTCCAGTTACCATCCCTGTCCTCCCACCCGTCTTTGTTCACTTTGGTACTGGTAATAAAAAAAAAAATCATTTCATCAGTGAACTTAATCAACTTGTAACCCAGGATGGCAAGGTCAAAAAAAAAAGAAAAAAAAGAAAAAAATTTTTTTTTAGCTAACCGGTTTTACGAAAATTGCAATCAGTGTTTCACAGTCGATAGGTACAATTACAAAAGTTCTATAATCAAAAATAGAAGAAGGGATGACAAAAAGAAGCCAATTGCAATTTAAAGATAAATAGCGGGCTAAACTGGAAAGGGAAAAGGGTATATGATGGAAAGAGGGGAGAGGGGAGAGGAGAAATGATTAGTGCGGGAAATACGGGAATTCAGCGGTGGTAAAATTTGCACCTCATAAATAATATTTCCTTTTCAAAAATGTCCCCAATAATATTTGGTGATGAAGGATTGCAAGGGACACGAAAACTCTGTCTTTGTTTCTCTGTTCCCCCCTATGCTTAACAGACTGTGCCAGGGGTCGCGGTGGTACAGGAAACCGGTCTTTTCAGAGTAATGAATCTTTTTCCGATCTCACAACATACATAAGTTCTGGGTCGTCAAACCCAGAGAACACGGTCGTTGTTTGCAAAAATCTAGTCTTATTCAGCCCGTAATGCATACTTAACAGAAAAAAAAAAGTACTTAATTTTTTGTTGTTGTCACTGGTTGCTGTTGC